AAGGCTTCTGTTCATGGTGTGACATATTCTGTCACATATGTGATGTATTAGAGATGTGTCTCTACACTGTAACACCTTCACATTGCAAGATAGGAAGGGCCAGGAAAATGCTGAGAGCTCCACAACCTCATCTCTTAGGAATGTTTGGTCTTTTTCTGAGAGTTGCAGCTTCTTGAGCCCTGGGATTCTGGCAGAGCCAAGCCTTTCAGTGTGCTTGGATAGTCTGAGTTTTAAAGGGCTTTTTCTGATCTGACTGTTGTTGACTCTGCATATGCAGAAGCATTCCTTCTTAGACAAATGAGGGGTACCTTTTAAATCATAAAATCGTATCACCTATTAGAATTACAAGCTTCTCTTCTTTTGTACATGTAATGGTAATAATTCTGTCTAATGATGGCAGTGGCCACAAAAAAAGACAAACCTTATTCAATCTTAGCAGGAGGAAATTATGCATTTTCTTTGCATGTAAACTTCCATTATTTGGATGGGGCCCCTGTGACATAGGCCATTATATCTGTAATATGTATTTATGGTTGTTTAAAGACCTGAAAGTTTATGGAATAAATCTGATGCAATATAGCCAGGAGGCCTGTGAGTTTTCATCATGCTATTGATTAAAAGGCCCACCACAATACTGTGAAGATAATGTAAAGAATTGGAAACTGGGTAAAAATTCCTTTTATTCTATATAAATAATTTTACATTAGTGTTTTATAAAAAAGAGTATTTGCTTATTTTTTTACCCCTCAAGATAATCTCTGCCTTTGTTTAAAAAAGGTTATTGATTGGATTGTTAACTTAAATAGTCTGTGGCGGGTGTGACAGAGCACATGGCTGCAATTAATCTTTCAATGCAGAATCCATTATTGAAAAAGCACTAATGAGCCGTTCTAAGGCCTTCACTGGTCACAGAGCGTCTGGAAGCAGCAGATTGCTCCTGCCCTTTAATGTCAGTTTTGGTCTTTAGTGTTATACAGCCAGTGTAAGCAGAAGAGTTTTTTAGACATTTTTAGGGTATTTATGTATTATCTTTCCCATCAGCCTGCAATTGTATCAGGTACTGGATGCAAGAAATGGTTTCTGAATGTGCTTGCCTCCCCACTCCTCTGACCAGATATCTGGTGGACATAATGTACAATTAAAGCCAGTGGCATGTGAAACACTGATGTCACTATAAAATATGGTCTCAGTCTCAAAGTTCAGATCCAGAGGAGAGTTTTGACAAAGATGAGGGAGCTTTCAAACCTGATCTACACTTTAAAATATTGTTTTAAGACAAAGTGATGAGCTGTTGAAAACCTCACTGCAAATTTTATTGTCCCTGTCTGTTGTTTATGGCAATTGCAGCATAGCAAAAGTTTAGGGAGAGAGTAGTTATGGTAGATTAGAAACTGTCAATGTTAACATATTGCCTTCTCCTTCAACAGAACTGCTCCCAGGTTGTATTTTAGAGGTCTGTCTATTGACTTTGGTGACACCATAAATATGTGTTACTTCCTCCCCCTATTAGATCTGCACAGCTGATACAGACTTGTGAGAGTGATCCAGGGTTTCCCAGGGTGGAGCCACCACCTGAATTATTGACTGAGGTTGAGCTGCAGAGTCTGCTGCACACCTTAGTCTCAGCAAATGCTGTTCATCACACAATTAGGTGAAATAAACCTCTTTCTCCATCTTAAACACATAGCAAGAAGCCTTTCAGCTCTCTGGCTTGTGTACTACCGCAGTGTCTGTAACTCGAATCACATTTTGGACTGCTCTGTGTACAAAAGAAAATTGTGGCCTGAACTAGCCTTTTTCTTTTTTAGAAAAAGAAAAAAATGAATTTGAATCTACCTGTAGTAGCTTGCCACATGCAGCTACAGGACTTTGTGTTCAGGTATTCTGACACAGAAGGAATGCTAAGAAGTTCTGTGATATGGAGCAGCGATGGTATTCAGTAACACTGCCTCAGAAAGTCTTGGATGTGTGAATGTTCTCATGGCATATAAAACACTAGGTTTTGAACAAAAGTAGCAGGAAAATAAAAGAAAGAGAAAGAAACTATGAAGAAGGAGAAACCAGGAGAAAAGGAAAAAATAATTTTAACATTTTGAGTATCTAGTGGCATGCTTGCCATATACTACAGTGCCTCACCATGCTGATAGTATAAGTAAAAATACTCTTTCCAATGACATTAAGCTGGGGTCATGGTACCACAAGGAATGCTGCTTAATGTGAAAGAGCATCTGACTCAAAGGCTGAAGAAAGACATTCTTTTTGCATTACACATACTATAGGCCCTGGGCTAACAGAGAGCAACCTGCAGCTATGCATGCTCCACTCGTGTAGTCACAGTATTTGGAGAGAGCCTAAGTGAGTGAATGAATTGGTATGTTCTTGCAAAATATTTCTGCATTGCTACTAAAAAGAAACTACTGTGGCCCTTGCTCTATTCCTAATTTTTCTAAGGAACCCTCAGCCCACAAGAGACCATTTCTTTTAGGCTTGTGGTAGGTGTGGTTCTTAAGAAGTGCTCGGCAATAGAGATAGGATGTATCACTTCAAGGATGAGGCACCACTGACGTGAGATGCCACACGGGAGACCTGCAGAGGTGTTTTTGAGGCAAATGAGGAACAAAACAGTCAAGACTGATAACTGGAAGAGAGCAGGAATGGCTATGAAGAGAAAGAGATGAAGTAGTGAACAGGACCTGACCCTCATGTTGTGTTAGAAAGGGAGGATCTTCAGCTGGAGTCTCTGCGATGAGCAATGTGTGTACACAGGCAAGTGAGCACGTGAATATGTTCATGCGTTTAGCTGGGATTTATTTCTGTAAGTTTGATTCCATTGTTTCTGTTTATTTTCAAGTGTGACTGAAGCTATTTAACTCTCTGATTAATTCACCTCCCTATATGAGTTGTTTTCTGTGATATATTCCAGCACTGCACAACATTTCTGGAAGCAGCTCTCTGCTGTTGGGATGAATTCCTCCCTGATGTGTAGCATGGCACATTTGTTCTATTTACTGGTCTTGGAATAAGGTTTGCATTCAATGTAAATCATATGTGGAGGAACATTTCTGTGTCATGTCAGATTTTGCTAGTTTGGTAGTATCAGAAAGCATGTGATCCTCTCAGCAAGGAAAGGTATCTTTTCACATCTCCTTTTGCTTAGTTGCAGTTTCAAGGTCCCCAGAACTTTAGTTGCTCCACTGTAAATCTCAGTAAAAACTGCCATTTGTTTTGTGCTGGCATTTCAAGGGCTCCAAAACCCTGTGATCTTCTTAGCCCATCTGAGCTCATCAGTATTGTCAAGAGATTTCTTTATTCAAAGGCTTAAGAGTGATATGAGCAATTTCACTGATTCCTCCTTCTCTAAATATATCCTTTATTTTCTCTTCAATTTATTGAATAATTATGCATACACACTTCTTTGCTGGACAGGCTTAGTTGTCGTATTACAACCATGCAAATACAACTGGAGAACAAAAATTCTTATTACATCATTTGGTGGTATCATTGACACATAAAAGAAGTATATTCCCTACAGCATTACTTCCTTATCCAGCAATTCTCAGCAACTGTTTGCGTCACTAGCTGGAAAATAAAGAAACTTTTCATAGGGTGGTGATGGGCGCTGTGATGAGACAGCAAAATATTACTGATAGGTCTGGTAGTGAAGATGACACATCTGTGCCCACACCTACCATAGACATGCCTTTTTTTCTTATTGGAGAAACAGCCTTTCTTTCTCCACTCTTAAAAAGGCACTTAGGCTGGTGGAAGTGGAAAAGATGTTTTCCAATCCATTGGTTGTAGTCTAGGAACAGCAGATTGGGTAGAGGCGGAAAACCCCACGCAACTTACGGTGCCAGTTTCTAGAAGAGGCAGGTGGCAGTGCTTGATGTGCATACCTGTGTTCCTAGTCTTTCTACGGATGAGCAGTTGATTCTCCCTGCCCTGATTATGCACAGTGTTAAAGTGTGTCAGAGAAGGATTTTAAATATGGGGCTTTCCAAGAAGGCAGGCAGGAGCTTATTGCAGGTGACTTAGGCAATGTCTCAGCCAGGTAAGGGTGGTTTGGAAGTACAGTACTTTATTTCAGCGGTGTATTTGTCTTGTTTTGTTTTGCAGAAGGAACACTGATCCTACCTTTGGTTTGTTTGTTTGTTTGTATTTTCCCCTCCAGAAAGCCTATTGCTGACCCTGCTACTGTGATACCGCTGTTTTGCAAAGCTGAAGTCGACACGCATGTAGGGGCGGGGGTTGTAACTCTGGCAATTTGTCCTTCCTAATTAGATGTGACTGTTCTGCTAGCTTTCCCTTCTTTATTCCTTTCATTTAGTTCATTGTGGGAGTTGGCTTGGGTTTTTTTTTCCTTTCGGTTTCCTGTTTTGATCCTGGAAGATTAGCTGTGCAATTTGGTTTCTTCTGTGCCAACCAACTTTAGTGGCAGAGCTCTTAAAAAAATTAAAAGCTATATCCTTCCATCCCGTCTTGCGTCTTCTCTGTACGCTACTGCTTCCGTTTAAGCAAAGTTTACAGAATTGCTTCACGCATTTGGACACCAGGAAGGGAAGCTGTGAAATGGAGAATAACCTAATTTCCACCAGGTCCTTCGTTGCGGTCGAAACAACGCTAATTGAAACTGTAGTCCAATTTCTATTAAGACGGATGGTCTCTCTTTGAAATTGGGTTTGTTTCTGATTTCATCCTTTTTCTTGTTTTCTTTAAAAAAAAAAGAAATCCCCACAAAAACCAACTCAAAGCCAATCCATTTTTAAGAGCTCTGAATAAAACTGCTTTGCCAATGGGGAATGGGTGGAGATGACTCTGATTTTCTCTTGTGCCCGGCAGCGAAAGGGTTAATGCCTGCTTTCCTCTTTGGTATCTGTTAGTTGCAGCCCATGTTGTGATCAGTCCATGTCCATGTGTGTTTTGTTCCCAAATTTAATACCGGTTAATTAACAAGCAATAAGTGAGCCTTAACAATGACCATTGTTTCCGATCTTCCTCAGGACACCCGACCTGCCTGCAATTCACCACAAACATGACTGAGGCTGTTAAAACCTATCAGTGGCAATGCATTGAGTGCAAATCCTGCAGCCTTTGTGGGACCTCAGAGAACGATGTGAGTCCATTTTCCTTTTCGTGTGAATAAGCGTCACTGCGAGCTGCTGCAATGCCCACCCTTGAGAAGCATGCGGCACTGGTGTGGGTTGTTGTTTTACTGCTGCTTCCATGCATCTCCAAGGAAGAGCCACCCCTGGGAGCAGAGGTGGGCTTCTCCCCAGTGTCCCCATTCAGCCACTGGTCTCTGCTGAAATTACCACGGGTATCATGTAGAGCCACTTAAGATGCTGATACTTGTGGTTTGTGTACTTATGCAATAGAAATTAGCTGGGGGCCATGAATTCCTGTTGCAGGAAACTTTCGGTATGATACTCAGAAGTAGATGTGAATACATGATAACCCAAGAGAGGAAAGTATGCTCCTTCTGTCCCTGATTTTCTTTACTTTCTTGGTATGATTTTTTAAACTTAATTACAAGACTTGGGAAACATGGAACTGTCTGAAGCGAGATGGCTAGGCCTCACCAACTCCAGTGATTTCCAGAGCCTGCAGCTGAGCAATGTCCTCCCTGTGGGGGTTTGCAGTTAAAATCTGATGCTAAGGGTCCTTGGTGGCCTGTGAGAACCTTGGAAAATTGACAGTGGCTGGAGAACTTTGGAGGTGATTAGCTAACACTATATTCCCTAGAGCAGAATAAATTTGAAGGCTAAGATTTTGTTTCTGCTTTAGCATAAAAAAATCTGTACCCAGGGAGCTGTTCTGCCCTAGGAATCACAGGATACTTCAGAGCAGCTTTTTTCGCCCCAAATATATGAAAGAGCTGCAGACCACATGGTGGGGTCATGTAATTTCCATCTGTTTCACAAAAAAAAGTACTCAGCTAAGTCTTAGAAAAACTGTCTAAGTCAAAGGTTTCCTCTGAAGGAATGAGATCAGCGCATGGTGACACAGGAGCCCCGGAAAACCTGTCCTCTCAGTACAGCATATCCTCAGCATAACAGCTTTTATTCCTGCATCATGAGGCCATCTTGGACAGGAATCCCTCCACTTCTCATTGTGATTTTCTAGCTAGAAACTGAACTGTCTTTGTGCTGAGAGAGGCTTTCTGCAGCCTCTCAGGAATATGGTGGCTAATCATGGATGAAAAAATGGGATGCTTCTAGCTTTTACATTCCCAGTAGTCTCTTAATCTCTGTTGTTGCAGCTCTGCATTCCCAGCTGAGCATTGCTGGTTACCCTACTTATGTTTTCATCTTGGCAAGAGACTAATTTACATCATTTTCTCTCTTCTCCTCTCCTTCTCTCCCTGTTTCCCTACTGTCTCTCCAACAAACCTGCCTCAGGACCAGCTGCTTTTCTGTGATGACTGTGACCGTGGCTATCACATGTATTGCTTGAATCCACCAGTCTTTGAGCCTCCAGAAGGTAACATATGACTGAAGTCTGCTTTGAAAATCCCAATAAAGTCTTTGGGGAGAAGGGAAAAATTTCAGAAAGGTGTTTCGAACCATGCAGGGTTAAGGAAACAGTAGCAAAGCAAAGGGAGGTAGCACTGGAAAGAAACAAAATTAATAGATGTGAAGCGCTAGTGTGATCTGTGGTATCCTATTCAGTCTTGCCTGGTCTCCACCTCTTACAGAACATAGCTGTTTTGTGGGTCATGGGTACTTTTGGATATCCCACATGTCATTGGTCACCTCAATTTAATCAACTGAACTGAGCACCTGTGAAATGTGACTTTGGACTTCCTAAGGAGTCAAAGTCCCAGGGAGAAAGCCTCAGACGGGGAGGTCCTCTCTGGAACATCTGAGAGCATGTTGTCAGGAGACTGGGTTAAAGGGAATGACCTTCCTTGCTCTATGATATGTTTCTGTCTCGGCAGGGTGAGGGTTTTATGGTCTTTATTACATTTGGTATGTAGTTACGACCTCTGCAAGGGGTTCAGTCTGACTACTATGACTGGTTGGAGCTTGTCACTTGGCTGTGGAGCAGAGGAACCAGTCTTACCATCGGAGGTTCTCTGACTAAAATCCTCAGAGAGCAGTGGAATTGGAGGAGACTTGTGAGTGTGAGTGACTGTGGTTTACATGAGGGGCAGGATAAGAATAATTACAAATCAATCATGAATTCAGGAGCTAATGTTTGTAACTTTGGTAAAAAGGAAGCTAAATCAGGAGGGGAAAATTTGGAAATGCAGCTAATAATTAGCTAAAGGTTTCTGTTCCGTTGGGAAGTGGTTTATTGAAAGTGTGAAAATATATAACACCTCATTGTAATGCATACCCCAGCAGCATTGTAGCTCATGTAGAAAGCCTATGGACACAAAAGCAAGGGCAGCAGAGGCTGCTTCACAAAACTACAGGCAATTCCAATATTAGGAATATCTGATATACTATTCAAGCCAATCTTGACATGATCTCTGAGTGCCTGGATTTTATGTCATCCCTATAAGAAGGATTTCTTCATTTGCAGGGAGCTGGAGTTGTCACTTGTGCCAGGAACTGCTCAGAGAGAGAGCATCAGCTTTTGGCTACCAGGCCTGAGGAGCTCCAGCAGTCAAGAAACACCTTGCTCCTGGTGTTGCCATACCAGCACACAATTCCCATCCAGAACACAAAGACACAATCCACATCCAAATGAACGGACACTCAAATACAGGAAGAGGTATCTGTGGTACTCACTGTCACTAATGCCAGACCTCCTGGGCTCTGCTAGGACTGTGTACTTTCCCAGTGATCTGGATGAAGTCTCTTCACTGCTGTGCATGGTTGCTGCTTGCCATTAACAGGCTCACTTGCATTATGGAAGGGGGAGGGTTGTCAGACTGACACGGAGAAGTCAATTTTGTGTGGCCTCGTGCTTTCTGTTTAGTCTTTTTTTAAATGAAAAAGTAGTAAGATATTTCCCAAGGAATTATTGGTGAGTACTTCAGCTGGGAGCAGCACCAGGTGTTTCTCTTCACAGGCTTGACTGGAAAACTCTTTACTGCAACCACTCTGTAGATGCATGGGTGCTTAAGAGGGGTGCTCTGAGAGTTGCATTTAGTTCAATACTTCCAGTTCATGAACAGCACATTGTCACTAAGAGAAGCACTGATCAAAACTTTTTGGAGTGACACTTTCTCCATTGAATCAAATGCCCTGATTTGGCAGATATTAGGAATCTGTTTTAAGTGTAAGGAAGAGCAGCACTGGTATGTACACACTCAGATGCTTAGAAATGCCTTTGGTATTCAGGATATTCAGGCATACCGTCCCATTGCAATGCCAACAATACCTACCAGACACGTAATTTCTTTTTGTTCAGAAAATTATGAGTGAAAAATCTTTTGTATGCAACTGACTTTCTTTTTAGCTCAGAAAATGGAACAAAAGAAAAATCATCATCCTAAATTGATGATAGAAAGTAAAAATTGTCAGTTTTCTGAGCAATCTAACGTAAGTTGCAAAAAGGAACAATTTTGGCTTAAGGTCAAATGAAGCACTTTGATTAACTTTTTTTTGAAATTTCTAAACTAAAATGTTCTGCAAATGAAAGCTGCATTTTCTGGGCATTGTCTAATCTGGGCTTTCAGCATTTCCTAAGTGTTACTGTTTTTTGTCAAAGTAATTATCAAGATCTAACTGAATTTCCAAACAATTTTCCCCCAAATTCTCTACAACCACAATTTTGGCCAATGACATAATTTGTCTAAAAACCTTCCCCAGCTCTAAAGAAAAGAATAATCTGCTGAACCTAATGTGAAAAGAAGAATTTTCATAATGATTAAAAAATTTAAATAGGAATAGTTCTACTTTATTTAAACAAAGATTTACATGTGAAATGAAGAAATATTAAGTGTGAACATCCATTGAAAAAAATTTATTGCAGTTGAAGATCTTTGAATAATTTAAGATATTACTAGGAGAATAAGTACATAAAATATTTTCTACAAAATATGTCTTTAAGGTTAAAAACCTACCACTCCCTGAACTGCCAAGTAGCCCAGAATAACCAGTTTTTTAGGTATGATGTATATCACTTTCTATGCATAGATTTAAGTGGGTTAATAATATAAATTTATCAGAGTCCCAAGCAGCATGTGGCTCATGTTGCTGGTACAAGTAGGTAAGGATACTGAAGATTATATTTGGCATTTTTATATTGGTCAAAACTCTTCTGCAGAGGTAAACATTCCCAAACACTTGAAAGACATTGTGAGACAATATTGGTGAGCTATTTTTTCTTCCTTCTCCTGCTAATTACACTTACTTAGGATGAGCTCTACTGACCTAGTGCACTTTTTCTCATTATTTAGATAATTTCTTCCCGTTTTGTTCAGCTTACACACCAAAAGTAGCTGTCAGCTACTGGATTCTCCCACCTACTCTTGCAGCCTCTTCTCAGGCTGGAGCAGGAGTATTTTGACATGTTAGGATAAAAAAATATAGAAAGTATTTATCCTAATTGTATTGGACCAAGACTCTCCTGGAGCAGCTGCACAGGCTACCTGTAAAATTGGTTTAATATCCTGTGCTTCCCATGTGTCAGCCCTTCAATGAGCTGAGAGCACAAAGAAATTTGAGCATCAAGTCTGGAGAGAGCAAAGTGGAAGCCTGTGTACTTGCATCAGGTGTCTGATACCTGTGGGGACAATGCCCTTGAGCAAATATAAAATAAAGCATCTTCCTCCCAGTCTGGAGCTGCCCTGGCCCTGGGGAACACTTGGAGGACACAGATGATCTGCATGAGCATTTACAGCCATCTGTTGGTGTGGTTGAACCCTGCTGATCTGGTATTTTGGGACCATCACATGGTTCAGTCTCATACAAAATCCTGTTACTGTTGTGGCCAGAAGTGCAACTGTTCACCAGAGACACCACTGGGCTCTCTCACAGTAAATGGGTATTTTGGGAAGAGTGACTGGAAATGAGAAGTGTGTGTGCTGGAGGAAACTTTTATGGTGGTGCTGGTGGTGGGATCAGCAGATGTGGGTTAGTGTTCAGGCTGGTCCTCAGCTACCAGTCCTGCTAGACCAAGGACTTCCATCATAAAAATGGCCATCACCTTCCAGTGTCTGATGCTTACACTGACCTTGGAGGAGTAGGACAATGCCTGCATTCCTAAACAGAGAGGACATGCATGATTCTTTGGCTGTGTGTTAAGCAGATACTCGTGACTCATCATGTAAGTCTCAGGGAGCCTAGTTGGTGGAACCATCTGGTGCAGAATTTCAGTGGTCTCCATCCCTGTGACAGAGACATTGCTAAAGGAGCTGTGCTCACTGTGCACACCTGCTTTCCTATTTCGTGGTTTTGATCCAGAGCTGTTTTTACCTCCCATAACCATTCTGCAGCCAACAATACCTTTCATGTTCAGAAATATGGCTCCTCCGTGGCCTTGCTGAAGTTTCATCACTAATGAGGTATGACAGAAGGACAGATTGCTTGATCTTCAATGCCAAAGCATTGTTTGCCATCTGAGATCAGTGTGACAGGGTGCATATCCACAGTGGACCAGCTGTGTTTCATCTCTCCAGCTTTATGCTGTGTGCTGTGTAGCCAAGCAGCTCCAGGTAACTTTGGCAGCAGATTAGATACAAGCTCTTCCATTCAGAGAACTTCCTCCAGCAACAGCCTCCCTTCTTCACTAGCTGAGTCCAAGATAAGGGGCTGGAATGGACCTCTCAGTGACACTTTTAGCACGCATGCAGAGCCATGTGTGTTGGTGCACTTCAGAAATAGTGACTGACCTCCCAGGTGAAAAATGCACCAGCTTTGCTGAGATGTGGAGAGGCTGTGGCACTACCATGGGGGTGAAGAAGAGTTTAGAAACTCTGATAACTGATTCCCTGTCACCTGCTGCCCCACTGGGGATAGTCCTCCTGTATGACTGCTGGGATGTGTGACTTGGGCAACACCATCCGCTGTCAGGCAATCTTTCCAGAGACCTGCTCTGGGCACTAAACAGTGTGAGCACCCCGGCTCAGTGTGCTGCTCTCTCTCTTGCTATGGCAGGACATGCAAGTTTGTTGGCAGTCCCTGAGGTGAACAATGGTGTTTTTCAAAACTCTTTTGTGTAGGCAAGGCAATTAATATTTTAGCACAAATCAGGGCAAACTACCAGGAGATGGTAGATCCTGCATGCCTCTAAGACTTCAAATCAAGAACAGACAGATTTTTAGATGTATTTTAATTAAAGTGACGATCTTATTTAGTCACGGGAATGTCTGACTGAAAAAGGCTTGTGTTATAAAGGAAGTCAGGCTGGATGATGTAAGTGTTCTTCCTGGCCTTATTATGAAAACAGATGTTTACTGTGGGAGAGGATGTATTTAAATACAAGTGTGTCTGCATAATGGCCTTAAAGTACGTTAGCTAAACATATGCACATGATCCTTCTACTTTTAACTCCTTTTGGATAACCTAAAAAAGGTCAGTTAGAGAAAATCGTCTTTACTGATGCAGTAAATTGCACATTACCTCCTTCATGCCCACAATGCCATCTACTTTGTGTTGGCCACCTTGGGCTGTTCCAGAGATCGAGCAATTCAGACTGTATTGTGTGAAACCATGGCTTGCCTCTGGCTCTCCCTCCATCACGTTGTGTGCTGCGCTGCCCAGTTTTCTGTCCATGGTGGGAAGACTGGCTGGGGAGGGCAGCACCTGCTGGGGCAGATGCAGAAATCAGAGGGATGGAGAAATGACCACAGAACGGGGGCATCCAAGGGATACCACTGGGGAAGTGAACTCGTGTTGCCATCACAGGGCCTCCCCCATAGCTTGGAAAAGGCAATACCTTTAAGAAACATGAGATGGGTCCTGATCCACCCCCAAACTGTGTTTCCATAACTGTGTTGTTGCATCAAGTTTACAGGGCACAGAGTTTACATTCTGTAAACATACCTCAGACCAGTTCTTGAGCTAGCAAAGCCGCCATTGTGTTCTTTTGAAGCAAATGTTACTCTAAATAACTTTGAAATAATGATTTTTTATCTCTTTTTAAAAGGAGCTTAGTCATTTCTGCCCCAAAGGAAGATTCTCCTGCACCATGCAGTGTTATGGGGCTTTAGCATTTTCTTTACACCTACAGCATGTGTTTTGACAGGGGTCACTTGGGAGGTGAGGAGTGGATGGGGGTTGAAAGGAATATTAATTAACCTTGTCACTGCTAGAGGGATAGCGTGCATTACGGGCAAGAAAATTCCAGGTAGAGCTGGGCATGATTTTTCTGTGTGGAATGAATTTATTTTCAAAAATCTGCTTTTGAGAGAACCATAATTATTCATATACTGAAGTCCAATCTGGAAAATTATTTAATACAAAAACTAAGGGGGAACAAGAGAAAGAGTTGAAAATTATTGTTTCAATCTTTTTCGAAAGAATCACTTCAATATTTGAATTTTAAAGTTAATGTAATTTATATTGGGAAAAATCTGGCACCAGTCTGAGAGGAAAGTAAACATAAATTTTATAGAGGGCATTATTAAAAAATAGATTATCTTTTCAATCTTGTTATGGGAAGCTGTGGGATGATCACGAGGAGGTCACCTGCCATTTTAACAGTTGATCAGTTCTATAATTTTGAGAAAATAAGTTCTATGGAGGGGAGCAGGCAGACAGGTCAGGAAAGCCCCCTTCACTAACTGGTCTGGGTTCATTGTGATCTTAGCATCTCCCACTTTT